TCATCGAGCGTGTCGAAACGCGGCGCGGCACCGTCAAAACTGTGTTTTGCCTCGCGACGTATTATTATTAGAGATGGAGCCAGCGTTTAATTGTGGGATTTGTTACACGCGACCGAGGCTGCACGATGTTAACGCCGGCCGGGAACGCTGCCAGGAGAACGCACCCCGTAATCACTGGGGAGAATATATATACAGAGAAAGAGAGAGAGAGAGAGAGAGAGAGAGAGAAGCTTCGAGGTGGTGCTTCGAAGTTTTCTTCGCGAATGATCTCGATTCGTAAACAGGAGCTTCGAGCTTTGTCAGAAGTGAATCGGAAATAAAGAGATTCTACTTTTCCTTGTAATTACCTCGAACGAGATCGATGCTTCATACGAACGAGGAGAGGATGGAAGTTTCAAGTTTATCGAGAGATTACTTTATGTAAGAAACAGTTCGAAAGGAAAGATTTCAAATTCCTCTGCAGTTAACTTCAACGAAATTTCTCTCCGGTATAATTCAACGCAGGAACATGGGAGAATCAAAGCTTCGAGCCAACATTTTCCTGAACCTACTTCGAACGGAATTACCGTGACGAGTGAAACTATTATGTCCCGATGGGACTAGGAAATTTCACTCTGCTATGAATGGAATTACTTTATTATTTATCTTCTGGACAAATGGCGCGCAATTTTGCATGGCTGAACTAAATGTTTGCTGCCGGAGCAATTCGTTCCCGACTAACTACATATTCACGTCGCATTTCCTTTGAATCCCACTCTATCTCTCTAAAAGTTCTTCAGAATGACCAGACGAGCAATGTACTTTTTATAAGAGTTATTTGCCGATTTAGCATACAGTGGCTGCAACAAGTTTTTACAGACACAAGATGCAACTGATTGATATATAAATAGCGTGCAAGTTCCTCTTATAACCACCATACGTATCGAGTTGACAAAGATCACGTTGCTCCGTCTCGTGGTATATATAATCTAACGTAGAAATAAAAAAAAAAAAAAAAAAAAAAAAAAAA